AAACAAGCCCCCTCCAGTGACCCGTCCAATCAATGCATTCACTCAGACCGCCTAAACCTGCTATGCACCGTTAGCCCTCCCCCAGCACCTGCAAACTTAGTATCTAGCAGTGTCTGCCGTCCAAGGTCAAGCATGCATACTTCCCAGAGAAGGGAGGCCCCGCTTAACGCAGTTACAAGCTCGTGCACTTTTTGCAAGGCAGCTCTCTCACCCCCACGTTCACATGCTCCTAGATGCCCTCCCCCCAACCAGAATACCAGAAGCCAATAGGCATAAAGAGCCAGAGGACAGCAATAACCATGGCAAAAAAGAGTCAAGTTTGACACCTTTGAGGTGGCATAGTCCCATCAGGCTGCTCTGAAATAGGACAAGGCCCTTCTAGTGGTATTCTCCTTTCTAACAAGCAATTTTGGTTTTATTTCTAACCACTTCTTAGAGGCTCAAGTGTATTCTCAGGCCACCAGCTGGATCAGGCAACTGGAGCAAATACATGTGTGGGATAGGAGGCTGTCCAGGGCAAGAGTTGCAGAGGTGGGAGCTGGTCTTTTAATGGAATAAAACTCTGTGTTGATGTGTCGGACTGGGGTCTGGGGGACCCAGGTTCGAATCCCCCTCTGCCACGTGAAGCTTGCTTGGTGACGGCGGGCCAGTCACACCCTCTCAGCCTGTCCTGCCTCACAGGGTTGTTGCGAGTATAAAATGGAGGAGGGGAGACCAATGTACACCCCCCTGAGCTCATTGGAGAAAGAGAGAGAAAAATGCACTACATAAATAAAATGTTCATTTAAAAAATGACTGCATAAACAGGAGCCTTGTTCCTCCTTGAAGACTTAAAAAATGTACATCCCAGCCTTTGCTTTAGTGGACTTTTAGAACAACACTCTTCCCCCCCTCCCCCAAACAGAGAGACACCGCCTTTATTTGCAGCCATTTCATTTTTTATTTCAAATTTAATTTTTTCCATCTTTTTAAAAACTTTTTTTTATTACAAAAAGAAAAGAAGAAGAAAAACAAGAGAGACACAGCTGATCAATAAATACTTGGGAGATGCTCAAAATAAAATAATATCCATAAAATAATAATATAACATAATAATAATAATAATAATAATGACCACAATGACGACAATAATAAAACAAAACCAGACTTAGACTGTGACAGCAGTCATGAAATTAAAAGACGCCTGCTCCTTGGGAGGAAAGCGATGGCGAACCTAAACAGCATGATAAAAAGTAGAGACATCACCCTGCCAACAAAAGTCCGCATGGTCAAAGCAATGGTATTCCCAGTAGTCATGTATGGCTGTGAGAGTTGGACTATAAGGAAGGCCGAGCGCCGAAGAATAGATTCTTTTGAACTATGGTGCTGGAGGAGACTCTTGAGAGTCCCTTGGACTGCAAGGAGATCAAATCAGTCAATCCTCAAAGAAATCAACCCTGACTGTTCCCTGGAAGGCCAGATAATGAAACTGAAGCTCAAATACTTTGGCCACCAAATGAGAAGGGAGCACTCCCTGGAGAAGACCCTGATGCTGGGAAAGATTGAAGGTCAAAGAAGACGGGGACGGCAAAGGATGAGATGGTTAGACAGTGTCATCGATGCAACGAACATGAAGTTGAGCAAACTTCAGAGGATGGCGGAAGACCGGAAGGCCTGGAGGGAGCTGGTCCATGGGGTCGCAAAGAGTCGGACTCGACTGTGCGACTGAACAACAACAACAACAACAACAATCCAGATTTGGTGCAGGGGGATTGTTAAAAACAAATCTAATTGACTAAATTCTACCACAGAAATGTTCCTAAACTTCTGAAATCTCCTTTCAGATTCTTCAGAGGCAACCCCTTCCCAGTGGGGGAGAAAGGAGAACCCCTCTTCTGGGGGGTAGTATGACCCATGCAGCAGAATGAGGCTGTGGAATGTGGAGAGGGGTAGAATGGACTGTACCAGGGCTCATTTGCTGCAGGAGCACACAGGAGCGAAGCTCCGGCAGCAAGCAGCCCAGGGGGTGGGCACATGCAGCAAGCCCCGCCCCCTGCTCCCAACAGCCCTCAGTTGGGCCATGAGGAGCAAGAAGCAGCCAGGTTAAGTTTCAGGGCACCCCCCCCCCAGCCCGCCGTCAGGTACAAGCTCTCCCTCCTCCGCGAGGGCAGATCTGCACGTTCCCCCCCTCCAATAGCTAGCAGTCCAAAGTCCAGTGGAGACTGAGTGGTGGGTGTTGCCTTCTGACACACTTCTGGTGATGTCCGGGGGTGTGGCATATGCAAATGAGTTGTGCTAATGAGTTATGCTAATGAGCTCCTGCACCTCTTTTTCTACGAAATGACCCCTGGACTGTACCATGTCTAAGTGAAGATGCAGAATCACATTTTTCATGCTCATCTATTTTTTTTTAAAGCCACAATTACCACAAAGGGTAAAAAAAACCCCAAGATCACTGAGAATGTTTTAGTATATTCTTCATATCGATTAAAATTTCCCCATTTAAGACCATTAAAAATGGAACTTCCCACCTGCATTCCGACATGGTAAAGTCTTTTATTGCCTCCGTCTAGCCCTTTGTTTTGCCAGGTGTGTAGTCCAGGCCTTTCAAGAGGGAGCCCTGCTCTGTGGCTTTGGATAACGTCTCTTGATGGGGGGGGGGGGAGTTTTAAAATGTGTTGCCCAGTTAGGGATTCCCTGGTGATTGATCACACCCTTCAATCCAGCAGGGAGTGAGTGAGTGAGGAAGACCATTCATTCTATGCTGAATTGAGGCCACCGTTTTGGCTTTGTTCTGCATTTCCCACAGACAGCAAGGGACAGAAAGAGGTAAAGGTGATTGATGTGATCAGGCCAGGAGAGGGCGCTGCTGCTGCTGCTGAGTTAAACCAAGATGCATCTTCCAGCCTTCAAGGAATCCTTTCTTTCTCGGTCCAGGTGCCACGGAAGTTTCCGGGGCATATTCCTGCGCCACTCTCAATCAGCCGGGGATGCCCTCTGTGCCAACGGAGCACGTGCCCTAATTTGTGCGTATTATGAGGGAAAGACTGGAAATGCGCTTGAGCAGACTGGCGGCCGTTACTGGTCTCTCGTAGCCAAATTCCTAACAGCCACTGATGGATTCCATCACTCTGGTACCGAGAAGGGTGTCCCCTCCCCCATAATCCACAGAGAGTAGCCCATCCAATCCAGATTACAGTGATCCACGAACAAGAGAGGCCAGACCAGAAACGCACCCCTTCCCAGCTGCTTTCCCATGCTTGCCGGCGCCCCTTAGGAAGAATGAGGAGATGAGGTGGTTGTTCTGAGATTTAGAAGAGTCCCCTCTCATTCCACAATGTCCCCCAAGTGTAGGAAGGGAATGATTGGGCCAAAAGTCTTCGCCCCTCCCACCCTGCAGCACCCCCTGGAGGAGGAACGCAGTGGTGCCCTGTCTCACGGACTTGCTTTTCCTTCCTTGCATCCTCCTCCTCCTCCTCTTCCTCTGGAGCGGGATTGAACAGTTCCAGGTCCGTGGGGAGGCTTTCCAAAATACCCGTGGTGGTTCCATCTCTTGGCGGTTCACAGCTTGTTCCGAATCAGAACCAGCGCGCGGGCCGCCCAGTCCAAATACAGGTGAAACGAGTGGACAATGGCGTGTCCTGCTTGAACCACGGACCAGTGGGTGCCGTGGGATGGGAGGGTTGGCAGAGGGTCATTGGGCCGCGGGAGGCTGAGTTTCACCATCTGGGGACAAAGGGACACAGGTTAAGTTTTTAAGAATATATTTATCCATCCAGGGCTATTTTTGGGCAGGAACGCACAGGAACGGAGTTCCGGCTGGCTCCTGAGTTGGCCATGCCCAGCAGGAACTCATTAGCATAACAGGCCACAACCAACAGCAGGAACTCATTAGGATTGGCTATGTTAGGGGTGTGTGGCCTAACATGCAAAGGAGTTCCTGCTACAAAAAAAGCCCCCGGGTTTTGACAACAAACAAGGTAAACAGAATAAGAAGCAAAAGGTGGGTGTGGCTGGATGACCACACTTTTGGTAACATGGGGGTGCAACCTAATGGGCTAATGAGCTGTGCTGTCAGGGGGTGTGGCCTAATATGCTAATGAGTTTCTGCTGTTGGGTGTGGCCTATTATGCTAATGAGTTCCTGTTGGGTTTTTTCTACAAAAAGAGCCCTGTGACCATACCCTACTTTTCTCCTCAGCGGGGGACCTAAAGCGGTTTACAGCCATCTTCTCCAACTTGTCCTGGCAACACTGACAGCCCTGTGAGGTAGGTTAGGCTGAGAGACAACAACTGGCCCCCAAGGAGGCAACCACGGGTGGGTGGGGGGGTGGGGACTTACC